GCGCTTTAGTTTACATGAGAGAGTGCGTGTGTGTGTGTGTGTGTGTGTGTGTGTGTGTGTGTGTGTGTGTGTGTGTGTGTGTGTGTGTGTGTGTGTGTGTGTGTGTGTGTGTGTGTGTGTGTGTGTGTGTGTGTGTGTGTGTGTGTCTTAGAAATACTTTGTTAAGCTGATTTGTATGCCACAGCAGCTCTGTTGTTTCCAGGCTTCCTGTAGCCTCGGTGGTCAGTTTCTTCACTGCTTGAGAGATTTAAAGGTTTTCCGGCACAGGACATGCCTAACTGCCTTCTAACTAACTCTCCTCTTTTCACGATTCCATAAAAGAAACTACAGTGCATAACAATGAGGGAGTGTAGTCTCCCCTCTGTGCGGGGAATAGAGTATTTCTGATTGTGCATTACATAAAAAGAAGACTGAGTGTTCAACATGAGAACTTTATTTAAACATCTATTATAAATCCTGGAACATGTTGCTAATATAGGCCTGGAGTATTTGAGTATGTACTGTTATTTAGGAAAGCAAAGAGATTGTAATCTAAAGCGAAAGCTGAATGCATGTTTTCCCAGGAGAAGCCATGTCAACTGGTTCCATCGTGGCAAAAAGCTTTTATCGCTGATGACACTCACTGTAGCTTTGCAAAATGTTACTGATCATTCACAGCCAGCGCTGGACCACCCCACGGAGCAGATCCTGTTCAGTGGAAAATAGCGAGCATCTGTTAGCACGTGTAAAACCAACAAGACAACAGGTCATCATCCACACATGAGATGGTTGGTTCCAGGGCATCTGCTCAGACTGGAATACAGTAATTGAGGGTAGAGTGCTTCGGGGAATTGTTCTTTTGGGGAATTTACTACTGGCAGTGTTAGTAAGCAGAGTTTGGCACTGGGAGGCGTATAAAACATTAATTATAATTCCCAGTGAATCTATTATTTATTATGTATCAAAATGAAGATGCAAATGTATCTGCAAAGTATTTTCTGTTATGTCCTCTGTGGACAGTGGGCACGATCAAACCACTTTACACAGAGCTGAAATAATTCATCACAATTTGCACTTTAAACATGTATTTGAAATGGCCATGCAGTAATCTGTAACACACTTTATTCTTTAATACTGTAACATTTGAAACATAGAAAGTTTAGTTTGCTGCTGCTATACGAGCAGAAGTCAAATGTGGTCATTGCTGCCAACTGTAATGACGATGGCAGTAAAGATGATATTGGCAGCCTGTCAGATTGAAGTCAATTGAGGCAAATCCAGCCGCCATCTGATTTTATTTTGCCTGGCAGAGACAGTTATTTTATTGGGCGCACAGGCTATTTGACACAGTTGATGGTAATGGAAGGATTTGCAATTTGTTTGTTATGCATGCTAACAATACAAGGTGAAGATGCAAACATGTGCCAGTTTGCAATTTGAGCAGGCATGAAGGAGAAACGCTTTCTGTGTGTCTGTCTCTGTTAAAGGAGTGCATACAGTATGTTTATGTATTTTTTATGTGGCTGGCACATGTTGATTTTTTTGGTGGCTATGCAACCAGTCACAATAATGACTTTGTGGTCAGTGCCCGGGAAGGATTTAATTAACTGTCCCCTGTCTGGTTAGATAATTTGTCAATAACGCACAAACACAGACACTCACTTTCAAACACACAAAGAGTAAGTCAATTTGTTTGCCATGCTCTCACTAATGCCGAGGTTAAAATGTACTCACAATGACTAGCTGCAGCAGGGAAGTCTTGAGTGACACGGCTCAATAGGCAATGATAGAGGAGTATTGAGAAATAGACGGGAACAGATCATGGTGTGGGTTCTGTCTGCCCACGGAGAGAAGATACTGTTGTTTATTTTACTTTAAATTGCTTCATCAGTGTTGAAGCACACTGTATGATCTGCTCAGCCCCACTCGAAACACAACAGTAATTATGTTTTCTTCTTTTTTTTCCTGCAGGTTCAAGGTTTGATCTACACACAGGGAAAGGTACAAAAAAGTCTTTCATTTCCAGATTTTTCTCTGCATGCAAAAGGTGATGGGGGGGGGGTTTGATGGGCATTCAAATGTAGACTGTGTGTTCAGGCTGTGGGTGGATGGATATTGAGGCATTACAGGGGAGATTTGTGAACCAGTTTGTCGTTTTTTTCCCACTGAACACATGCACACACACACATTTAGCGCAGCCTGTTATCCTAATCATGGTGAACATACAATCTGGATTAGGGGTGTCTTATAGTATCAGCTATAATCACACACAAACAAATCCTTCAATACTTTAGTACACTTGCACCTGCTGCAAAATGGTAACTGCCTCTACTGTAAATAACGCCTTTCTAGTCTGCAGAGCACTCAAAGTGCTTTACAACACATGCCAACATTCACCCATTCATACACACATTCATACTGCCTAATGGTGATAAGGCACTAGCTAGTGAGGCATACCACTCCCTAAATAAAGGATCTAGGTGTGTGGTGCAGTGGATTGTACGTTGGTGTTTGTTCAAACCCCACTGCAGTCAGCATGTCGTTGTGTCCCTGGGCAAGAAACTTCACCCCAAAATGCTCCTGTGGGGATTGCCCACAGTATTGAGTATGTAAGTCGCTTTGGATAAAAGCGTCTAACAAGTGACATGTAATATAAAAAAAAAAATCTAGATTATGTCAATGTGTAATATTATGTGTTAGTTATAGCATGCAGTATGTGTTTCAGGGGTGTCAAACTCAATTTCATCGCGGGCCACATTAGAATTATGGTTGCACTCAAAGGGCCGGTGGTAACTTTAAGACTATATAAATATACAAAGATAAATATACATAATAAATATAAAATAATGTATTATTTTACAATATTTCTTCTGCATTGGATTATTATCGGATAGGGTAATAACTTCATAATTAACTACGTCTGAAAGCAAAAGTCTAGGGAAAATAATTGCAAGTCTCTTCATTGCGCATGTCACAAAATGAGATGCATTGTGGGACATATAGTTTATGGGCAACGTTCTCCTGTAAAGCGGCACGTAACATTATAATAAACTTATTATATTGCAAGCTCTTGTGGGGCCACATAAAATGAAATGGCGGGCCGGATTTGGCCCCCGGGCCTTGAGTTTGACACCCCTGGGTTAAGTCTAAAGAAAATCATATCCCTTCCAATTGTCGTTTTACTAAAAATACAAGAGTAATAGCAGCATTATCTAAACTGAGATTTGTTGTTTATAGCCGTTTAGGGTTTTGCCATCTAGGCAGCATTTGATCATTATGCGGATGGTGGACATACAGCTCTTTTTGGTCTATTTCTGGCAGATGGAGTCTGTAACGGTTTATGTCTGCGTCCGTCCCTCTGTAGATCCCAGAGTATTTTAGTCCAGAATAATCCCCACCATCTGCTGTCTCCTCTACTACGTTTTAGTGCTCAGCATCTCTCCCTATATCCGTCACTCTAGTGTATACACCATTTCCTCTTCCTGTTTTCTCTATATATTACGATGATCCGTCGCAGCTGTATCTTTTAATTGTGATGCCTCACTTCCCCTCCCATTCAGGCTCTCAATCTCCATCACCTTTTCTTCTCCTTCCTCTTCTCAATCTCAATATGACTGCTCCTTCTGTCTAATGGGTCTTGATCCATGATCTCTTCCCCTTCCTCCTTTGTATATTTGTTTTTCGTCTGTACTTGTTTAAATCTCTGGATGAGCCTCTACACTCTCAGTGTTTGTCTCTTGATCCATTTCACTCCCACACCAACCACTCTCCACAAGCTGTCAAATCCTAATCTGGGCATCATGAGAACAGACTATACCCTCTAGTTTCTAATGAAACTCCTAAAAATCCACTCTGCTAGGAACAGAGTTTAAAGTTGAAATGCGTCTCTGTTGCTTAATCACTATAACTAGTAAAATACTAAATTGTTTTATGTCATTCAAATTAAAGGAATGCCTTAGCTATTGTGAAACGGCTATTGTGTAAGCAAATACATGTAGCGATGCCCAAATAAAGCAATCAGCTGCTCAACATTAAAACGTTGTATTGTTGTTTTGATATCTGAATCAGTTTGTGACTAAAATATGACAAATATTAGATTTTTTTAAACCTCTAAACTACTTTCTTTCTGTCAGAGGGTCGAATGACTGACTAGTTTCCCCACTTTAGTTGTTCTCTGGCAAATGACGACTGCAGAAACAAGAGTTCACGACTGTATCTCTTATTTCCTCTGTCCTCCTCTGTCACAGTGATGCTCCAAGGGACGATGGCCTCTATGTCAAATGAATTAATCTGAGAACATGACGAGAACACTTAACCTCAGAGTAGAGACATGTACATATGACATTGATGAGCTCTACTTAGGGGCATCAGTGTGCTATAATGTGAAATGTAAAAGCACTGCATGTGTCACTGTGTGGCTCACAGCTATCATAATGTAAGCAACAAAAACACTGACAGGTATGACATCCACACCTCAGTGACGCGGTTCACAGCCATGTTCAGCACAGTTTTGTGCCAGCACACAGCTGGATTAACAATGACTGAATGGATTAGGGAGAGAGTCAGACAGAGACAGAATGATAAAACACGTTGACTCTTGTGTCAAGTGGGTATTTGATAAAGCCGGATACCTTAAACAGATACCGATAATACCCGAGATCATCATATTTTGGCTCGACTGCCAATGACATCACATAACCATGCACTCCACATGTAGAACACACACACACACACACACACACACACACACACACACACACACACACACACACACACACACACACACACACACACACACACACACACACACATGCATTCATAAACACATGGTTTGTATGTAAGGATAGACAAACCACTAGCAAAGAATGCTGTAAATTCTTTGGTGTGTGCAAACCCCCTTTTTTATGTGTGTGTGTGTGTGTGTGTGTGTGTGTGTGTGTGTGTATGTCTATGTGTGTGTGTGCCGGGTCCTCTGGCTCTGGGCTTTCCTCTCACCCTGCCTGTAATGGTCCATGCAAGTCCAGCCTAATGGGGTGGACACTGGTGTCAACTTCATTACTTTACATCTCCCGCCAAGATGAAAAGTCTCTCCATGCCCGCACTTTGACCACGCTTCGTTAGCGTTCTCTGGCCCTCCTGCCCGACTCCAACCCAAACAGGAAAACTATTTCCAAAAATGTGTTTGTTAATAAAAGTATTATGAGTTAATATGGAAAAGGATAGTCACAGAAAATGAGGCTAATTTGTTCACGGATGATCCTGGCCATTTCAGAATGAATCACTAGCATCTTTTCAGCTTGGCAAAGTGCTTATAGGCTTTAATGTTGCTCCCAATGCCCTTTTAATGTTTGTTAAAATGTTTGAAATAAATAAAATGTAAAAAAAGACAACAAAAATAAGATTTGAGACACAGTACAAATCCCGATTATAATTCAAATTAAACCGAAATACAAATGAAATACACATACTGTAGAACGCTCTTTCATCCAAAATGTAGCAAAAGTTCAGATTTAAGTTATTATAAGCTTAAAGTCCCGATATATTTACAGCTTGAACTAAGAAAGAAGTTTTCCAAATAAAACCCTTACAGTATACTGTATGAAGAACAGTATGCGTGGTACCTCTATATAGTATAATAGCATCTCTGAGGATACAGTACAGATGTTTAGTGCTTCCTGAGTCTCCACAGACAGAGACACATGGTTCTTTATGTCCACTGCAACATCTTTGTCATCTTTCATCTTCTGGCCTGCGCCTATAGGCAGAGAGTGAGCAGCAGGCGGTGTAATTCTGTTCTAAAGCCCCTAGTTAGGCATGCATATATTCCTATTATAGTCAGCGCTCCCGGAACAAGACAACAGAGAGCAAACAGAATGACCTTGAAATATTTATCCCCAGCCTCGCTTCGGAGAATTAAGTTTGGTGTCAGGGGCAACTCGCAGCTATCCAGCTCTACTTTGTGTGGAAACATGCATGCCCATACACACTGATGCAAACACACACGTCCTCCTTTAGCGGGTTGTGAGACAAACGACTCATGTACCATCTTGCAGTGTTGAATATTAAAGGCGGTCAGGGAGGCTAGGCTTTGATTGGGACAATAAAGGCTGATGAACAGGATCTTAGAGCATGGGAGAGGAGATGGTGTGTGTGTGTGTGTGTGTGTGTGTGTGTGTGTGTGTGTGTGTGTGTGTGTGTCACAGTGCAAGGGGATACAGCCAAAACCCTGAAGTGGAAGCCAGGAGCTGCCCGGCCCAGAATGCTGTGTGTGGTGTGGGCGAAGGGGAGGGTGAAGAAGGCTAAAAGTGACCCAGTCCAACAAATGTGGGTCATAAATGATGATACGAATGGGGTAAATGTGTTAAAACTTTACTTGCACTGCTCGTTTGTAACCTCTGGTAAGTATTGGTGGTTGAAGATATCATTGAAATGTTAGCCAAAACGATCAAACACCTGCTTTTATGATAATCATTAGCATGTATTGGAGTCGTGTTGCTGGCTAGTTGATGGACTAATGTTAATCACTTCCTAATTAACTTTTTCTTTGTGATTTAGGGTGCTTAGCAGTTAGCTTCATAAAACAGTTGTTTTATGCTTATAAAAGCTGTTTGCTCAAACACATTTATGTACTGTATATGTGTTCAAACTTTATTTACACTGTTATCTGTTGTTTTCCTCCTTATATCTGCAGTTAGTATGTTGAAAATATCATCAAAATGTTAGCCAAAACTATCGCTACGCTTTCATGTTATTTACATATCCGGCAGACACATATCCGGCAGACACATATCCAGCAGACACAGAGCAACATTAGCATACCTGTATATTCACATTATATACAGCTGAAACAATTAGCCAATAAAACAGGCTATACAAATCTCAGGTTTAACTAATTTATGATTAACATTTGCACTCTTTTCGAGTCGTGTTTCTGGCCATCTGAAGGAATGATGTTACTTTCATTGTATGTTATCTTTGTCTTTATGTTTTATAGGTTCAAATATTTAGCTAAAAAAGATTGAAAGGCAATGAAGAGCTCAGGTGAGCCACCATGTACAGCTGATAAAGACAGTACTGCGATATACTTTTTTACCTTGATATATATCTCAATATATATAAAATAAAATAAACGTGTTTCAATTTCTAGTCTGTTTCTTAAAACATCCAAAAATGTAGAAGTTGACTCCAAAGCGTTCAAACCTTTAAATGTCATACTGTAAGTTCATCCCTCAAACAACATATTTGTCTTTACACATAGTCATTTGTTCAAAGCTTAATATACTCATGGTTTAAACTGAGTTTTCATACTAATTATTGTATTTTATGACAAGATTGTGGCCCACTGTCCAAACATAAATATCCCTTTCCACTTTCAATATAAGCATTTACTTACAGTAATATCAACTAAATTCTCTATTTCTATCCCTCTCCTAAGAAAAATCAACCTTTTGGATTTATTTGGAGATATTCTAGCTAATGATCCATCACAGCATATCTGAAGGGACTGCTGTACAGGAGACATGATTGAGGATTGGCCAGCAGCCTCTTTGTTGTACTTATGTAATTGTCATGTTCATAGGGAATTTTTTATTGAAACACTAACAAAGCACATGTCCACAAATTAGCTTCACTTTCTCCCATTCAACTTCTCATTGTCTGCAATGCCTGTGAGGGCTTACAATAAATGGATGATTGGAGAGGAGAAAGGAAAAGCAATGGGCTGTGTGTGTGTGTGTGTGTGTGTGTGTGTGTGTGTGTGTGTGTGTGTGTGTGTGTGTGTGTGTGTGTGTGTGTGTGTGTGTGTGTGTGTTGTATGTTGTGTGTGTGTGTGTGTGTGTGTGTGTGTGTGTCTGTGTTGTATGTTGGCAGTGAGGTAAAGAAAAAGCCTGCTGGATTGTTGGAGCACAGTGGAAGGATGCCTGCCAGTTTCTACGCCACCGGGACTCTCTGACCTGTGTGTGTGTGTGTGTGTGTGTGTGTGTGTGTGTGTGTGTGTGTGTGTGTGTGTGTGTGTGTGTGTGTGTTTTTGATTGCGTGTGTGCAACTGAACTCAAAAACGGAAAACCTCCGCCCGGTCCTTTAGAGTTCACACTCAACGTTTTGCTCCTCTGCTGTGTGTGAAACTGCACATGCTTCTGCCCTGTATTCAGTGTGTGTTTCATCGGTATGTGTGTGTGTGTGTGTGTGTGTGTGTGTGTGTGTGTGTGTGGGAGGCAAGCAGATGAAGACGGCGCTCGCCTCATATTCAATGTGATCTGCAGCCTCACCTCTGTCATTATATATAGCATAGGATCCAGCTCCATGTTTCATTATGCATTTCCTTCCACTGCTCCGTATTGTGAATCTTACACTTCAATTGGCCTCTCTGTGCTGGACATGAATTACCCTATTTGTGAAAGGGATTGGAAAAGCCAACCTGCAACCAAGGTTGGGAGGGTTACGTTTAAAAATGCATTCAGTAATAATTACTAGTTACATTTAAAACAATGTAATTATTAACCTAATCTGAGTATCACAATATTTAAAGTAATGTGACCTGATTACTTTCTGTAAAAAAGACAACCAGGCATCAAGAGAATCAGAATGTGGACAACAGTGAAACATATCTTCTTCGTTAGGTTGGAACTGAAACAAAAAGTAAAGAGACACTTATTGTTGCTCACCCTCCGTTACACATGTATGAATCCACAACATGATCACAATACGTATGATATTTGTTTTATATAGATACAATTGTATTTATTATAAACTTGTGAGGCCCTAACATCTATCACTGTGTATATCACCATTCAGAGATGTTTAAGAAACCCAACACCGTGAATGTATACTTTATTTGATCATCTTGAAGTAAAAAGCTAATGTTCATATTTTGCCATTTGATTATTATAGTGTTGAAAACTTTGGCAAGTTACGGTATAGCTTAAGTAGGTTAGTATAGGTTAAAAAAAACATTGATTCGACACAAGGAACCAAAAGTGGTAAAATGCAAACTCATTTCAATGTTGTAGGACTAATGACTGCTCAACTATATTGGGCACT